AGGGCCTTAATGGTCACCTGAGTATAATACAACAATTTAGAGGATCCATAGAGTATAAAATGAACTGAAAGGTGAAGCTTTGTTGCCCAAAAGCAAGAAAAATAGGGTGATCAGGATCAACAAAATAATTAATCTAGTATTTACTGATAGTTTATGAATTAGGTTCTAATCTGTTCCCCATTTATCACTATCACTATACAGTGTGTTAAAAACCTATCAGTGCTTCTGTACTATTTTAATTTCTTGTTCAAATCTCTTACATTGATTGGCCTCTCTTGGTCTTTGATGAACATTTAATAAGACAAGTTATTTTTGTTCCATTTTTATTTATCTATTACTTACAAGTCTATCTGATCATTAAAACTATGAAAATACTTTTTGTATTATACAATAAAAATTCTTGCTTAATTCTCTTATTCTATTAACCTTTCAAGTACATTGTTTACAGTGATTAATTATCAAAAGTAAATGGCAAAGGGGAATAACTCCTCTCAGTAGACTACAAATTAATAGAGCCCTGGCCAGGACTAGAACACTTGAACAAATGGTCCAGATGTTCAAAATCTGGTAAAAATACCCTTCCTTATTATAACTTTTAATCTTTTTGCCTCTGATATGCCCAAGTGCAGAGAAAATTTTTAAAGAAATAATGCATTTTTACTTCAGATTCACAATATTATCAATAGAGCCCCCCCCCCCCCCCCCCAAGAAACACTAGAGTCTCTCACCCTGGGACCAGAAGTTTGCTCATCATAAGTAATCACTTTGTTTATCTGCTTAACACTAAGGAGCAGACAGGATTATTTAATAGAATTAATGCATTTTCACTATATTATCAAGAGCCCCACCCTTACACCAGCACATCTGACCCGGGTCATGCAATTCACTACTCTGGAAGAAGCACTCTTGCTCATCATAACTATATACTTAGCTTCTTTACTTTTTAACCAGAAGCAGAAAAGAATATTTTCAAAGAAATTTTGCTTTTTCACTATATAATCAATAGAGCCCCCCCCCCAAACCTTTTCACTAGAACCCTTGACCCTGGGGCCATGAAATTCACAATTTTGGAAGAGGCATCCTTGTGTATCATAACAATGTATTTAGTTTGTTTAAATAGTACCCAGGGGCAGAGAAGAAGATTTTCTAAGAAAAAATTCACCTTCACTATAGGATCTATAATAGCCCCACCCTAGAACCAGAACCCCTGTCCCTGGGGCCATGAATTTCACAATTTTGGAAGAGGCATCATTGCTTATCATAACAATGTACTTAGTTTGTTTCAAAAATACCCAGGAGCAGAGAAGAAGATTTTTAAAGCATTAATGCATTTTCACTATATAATAAATAGAGCCCGTCCCTAACATCAGAGCCCCTGATCCAAGGGTCATGAAAATCACTATTTTGGACGAGTCACCCTTCCTAATATCATAACTATGTATTTAATTTGTTTCAATAATACCCAGGAGAAGAGAAGACGATTTTCAAAGAAATAATGCACATTCACTATATGATCTGTATAGCCCCGCCCTAGCACCAGAACCCCTAACCCTCCAGGGGCCATGAATTTCACAATTTTGGTAGAGTCACCCTCGCTTATCATAACTATGTATTTGATTTGTTTCAATAATACCCAGGAGTAGAGAAGAAGATTTTCAAAGAAATAATGCACATTCACTATATGATCTATATAACCCCGCCCTAGCACCAGAACCCCTGACCCTGGGGCTATGAATTTCACAATTTTGGTAGAGTCACCCTTGCTTATCATAACTATGTATTCAAATTGTTTCAATAATACCCAGGTGTAGAGAAGAAGATTTTCAAAGAAATAATGCACTTTCACTATATGATCTATATAGCCCCCCCCCCCCCAGCACCAGAACCCCTGACCCTGGGGCTATGAATTTCACAATTTTGGTAGAGTCACTCTTGCTTAACATAACTATGTATTTAATTTGTTTCAAAAATACCCAGGAGTAGAGAAGAAGATTTTCAAAGAAATAATGCACTTTCACTATATGATCTATATAACCCCACCCTAGCAACAGAACCCCTGACCCTGGGGCCATGAATTTCACAATTTTGGTAGAGTCACCCTTACTTATCATAACTATGTATTCAATTTGTTCCAATAATACCCAGGAGTAGAGAAGAAGATTTTCAAAGAAATAATGCACATTCACTATATGATCTATATAGCGCCCCTCCCCCTCCCCCTAGCACCAGAACCCCTGACCCTGGGGCTATGAATTTCACAATTTTGGTAGAGTCACTCTTGCTTAACATTACTATGTATTTAATTTGTTTCAATAATACCCAGGAGTAGAGAAGAAGATTTTCAAAGAAATAATGCACATTCACTATATGATCTATATAGCCCCGCCCTAGCACCAGAACCCCTGACCCTGGGGCCATGAATTTCAAAATTTTGGTAGAGGGCTCAATGCTTATTACAATCATGCCAACAGTTTGACTGCTTGATGTCCAGGAGTAAAGAAGAAGATTTTTAAAGATTGCATTAATTTTGGTGGTTTTAGCCCCACCCCTTAGGCCCCAGGGGGGCAGGAACCATGATATTCACAAATTTTGTTCCCCTTCACACATAGATGCCATATGCTAAAATTGGCTGAAATTGGTTCAGCGGTTTCAGAGAAGAAGCTGAAAATGTTCAAATGTTAACACACGACGCACGACGGACGACGACGGACGAAAACAGATAGCAATAGGTCACCTGAGTGACTCAGGTGACCTAAAAAAGGAGAAATTTAAATGTAAAATCCTGAAAAGAAAATTACTTAAATGCAACTATGTACAACATCTGTATGCAAGTCTGAAAAGTTTCAGTTCCCCATGCATCTTTGAATATGAAGATACATAGTAAATCATAGTATTAGAATATGTTCTATAGTTAACAAGAGTAAATTTCTGTTCGGTAGTGTAAAAAGTAATCCGATCAAGTTTACTCTCCATTTTCATTTTTCTCTTAATATATGGATCAAAAAAGAGAAAAAAGGATATCAATTTATTAAATAATATTATATTGATACACTGTATGTGTTTCTAGGGTTTTATTCAGTGTAATAAACTTCTAATTTCCAAATTTTACATTTCACACTTAGGCCTCCGCCTGGCAAGAGCTGAGCAACGGCATCGGTATCAATTGGGGGGGGGGGGGGGGGTAATTAAATGAAGCCGGCGAACATTCTCATTTCTTTGGAAATGTTTTCTTTAATGTTTCAAACTTAGTCTATGAAACATTTCATGGGACACGCTGAACAAACAAAATCAGCTAAAACTTAAAGTATGAAATGTATTTTTCGGTATATGAAATAAATAACATAAATTAGTAAAGGGAAATAAAATGAAATTAAATAAAAATTTAGGGGTTTTTTTTCTTGAAAAATTGCAAACGAACATTCTATAAAAATTTCTAAGGGGCGCTTTGACCAAAATCAGAAGAGGGCACATTGCTTGGGGACGGTTTCGAAATGAAATTTTTCTATAAAAATTATGGGGGGGGGAGGCTTTGACCAAAATCAAGGGACGCTTTGATCAGTATTTGGAGGCAGTTTTGTAACATCATTTTACTGTAAAATTATATTAGGGCCGGGCTCTTTGACCAAAATCAGGGGGCTCTTTGACCGGGACTAGGTATATAGTTATATATATGTTAGTATATAGGTCCCTGATATTACTACTAGATAGTTTTACTCATAAAAAATCTCAATAATGTTGTACATATATATATACATCTGGAAAATGCAACTTCTGACTGCATCTGAAGCAAGTCTGTATGTGCATCTCTAGATGCATCATCAATGCAAGTTTGGTCAGCATGGGCTTATATAGTAACCTAGCTAGGCATAAACTTCAATCATCATTCATCCAGAACATTAGGTCATATATTCAGAATCCAAATGGGAATAGATCTGCTCCAAACTTTAACCTAAATACCCCTCTGAAAAATCTCGGTCAGATCCAACATCCTAAGCAAGTCTGGTAGTGTGCATCCATCATAATGGCTGCATCATACATACAAGCTTCAGTGCCATGAGGTTTGCAGGTACTTAAGAATCTACCTGGTTCAAAAACTTGAATCTGCTCACTCATCTGGAAAATATAGGTCATATCAAGCATCCAGAGCAAATCTGGTAACTGGTAACTGACATCCCAACATGAAACATTCCTGAATGCAAGTTTGGTCCAGACAGGGCTTTAATTACTTGGGAAATGACCTGCTCCAAAAACACTGATTCACTCATCTGGAAAATGTAGGTTGAATCAGCATCTGAAGCTAGTTTGATAATGTTCATCCCTAGATTCATCATCCCTGCATGTTTGATCGCCATAGGGGTTTACAGTTACTTATTTTAGAATGAACCTGCTCTAGACTTGTTCAGAAAATGTAATTCAGATCCAGCATCCAAAGCAAGTCTGGTAGTGTGCATCCCTAAATGCATCATACATGAAAATTTGGTCTAGGTAGGGCTAATATAGTTACTTGGTAATGAAACTTGTTCCTAAAACATAAACGGTCATTCTTATCGAAAATATGGCTGAAAATGCAGCATCTGAAACCTAAATGGTACAATAAAACATACTAGATGCATCAGCCATGCAGCTAGAATCAACATAGAGCATAAAAATTATAGGATTGAAAACTGCTCCAAAAACTTTAACCTGGGACACCAACGTGAGGGTATTACATAATCTCCCCCAACTTTGTTGAGGTACAATATATAATCAAGAGGCCCATTAGCCTTGTATGAGTGTCATGAGTTTCTCAGGCAATGAGCACTGTGGGCCTGGCTGGAACTGGATTCTTTTGAGATATTTGGTGAGGACTTTATAATATCATTAACATAATCATGCAGCTTGTCTCTTAGGAGTTCAGGAGTTAAGAAGGTCAAGGGCTGGCTGCTCATTATGATCATGCAATCAAATAGATATCCTCTGAATTGCAGCTTGAAAACTAAATGGACGAAGTATTGAGAAGGTTGTTAGGATATAGATCTTTATTTACATTTATTACATTACAATATATACTGGGTCAGTGTTTCATTTATATCTTGCTCTTCGTTTTCCTTTCAGCGCTATAAGACTGTCATCTGAAATTTAGAAAAGTAAGAAATAAGAACACATCATTACGATTGTGATTAATACAATTATGTTTTTTGGTATTTTCCTACACTTTATTTATTTACAATAGCATAGTTACTGCTCCAGACAAGAAACTCAAATCCTTAAAACTAGCACTCCTAAAACTTTGCACATATTTTGGATTGCAACCCACCAGGTCAACAAAACATAGCCCATGTTTATTAAGTTAAAGGATAAAGAACATATTTGATTAAAGTTAAAAAAACTTATCCAAAACACAAGGTAAATTATATAAGTTTATATAAAGAATGATTCAGACGAATTCAGAATTTTCTTGACCATACTCTGAGGATACAAGTATAATTTTGAGTGAAGGTTAATATATGTATACCACATGGGGTTAAAGAATAAAATCCGTCAAGAGACCCTGACTACCTACTTGTCATTCGGGGTATTTTTCCACCATATAGTCTCTGTTGTTTAAACTGTCTGGCCTGTTCAACAGATGACATAATTTTTTTCTCATTCTCCTTTACTTTTTCAACAGTAACTCCCCCTAACCTGCAGAAGATAAACAAAGAGCTAAATCCACGAAGGGGCTAAATCGGCCCAGTCATCAAATTAAATGAAACTTTCTCACATAAAACTCTAAGATTTGTATGTTGTAAAACAATTTATTTTTTAACAATATCTCTTCTGGTTTTCTTTTTACAGTCTTTTAAATTTGGTATTGTTTTCCTTATTAATAGTATCACGTCATAACGTTGACGTTACATACTTTAACGTTGTGACGTTGACTTTTTGTATAAGAAAGTAACATGTGTACGTTAATGGAATAAAAATAACCAATATAAGCTCTTCTTTAAAATTTTGGGAAAATTTAAACTATGAATTTTTCAAGAAGTTCTGAAAACTTTTGGTTTATTTTTTAATTAAAGCTATTTGTACTCTAAAGAAATGCCAAATATTTGTTATATACAACGTTTGTCTGGTATAATCGTTGATACATGTAACACGTTTTAAATGATAATAAGAGACACGTTAAGCTGAAAACAAACACAAGTTTTAATCCATCATATTTGAGTAAAACTGAATTAATGTAGTAAAATATATACTATAGTAGACATGGATAAGGATTTTGTCATTCTTAAATGTGTTATTGTATGGTCATACGGCGTACAAACAAAAAATAGACTTTTTTCAGAAAATACACAAGTACTTTTTAAGAACGAAAACATAAAATTAAAATGAAAAGGTCCATTAAAAATGAATACGTTTGAAGTTACCATCTATTTTATTGTCATTTTGAGAATTTCGTTGCACTTCCAAAATTTATGACATTTCCCGGACATTTGAAATGAAATTGTCGTTCATACATGTAATACAAGTAAAATAGTGACGTTTGACGGCAATCCTGCGCACCACAGATTGTCAGGAAAGAAGCCACTACAGACTTTTAAACAAGAGTGATGCAAAGCATCAAACCGGCCGCAAAAAAAATTAAGAGTACAACGAAAACACAAGATTTCCAAAGTATTCGAATTTCAAAACGGAATCTGAAGTTAAAAAAAACAAGATAAACGGAAATGACATGTATACCACTTTACTCAATATGAATTACTTAATCGAAATAAAGTTCACTAATTATGATAAATATGTTATATCATCAAAGAGAAACGTTTTTTATATACCCACAATAGATATGAAAAGAGATTTCAGATGACAAACACGATCGAATTAATTATTGCTAACTAATCGTTTTCTTATCATATTATCATATCTTATACACTACCATGTTGGGGAGTACCTATTATAAACCCTTTTAATAAAATCATAATGTAATGATTATCTGGTGAGGAGTGAAAATTAAATTGAAACATAACAACATCTAAGACTTTCGTATAGTTCAAAACCAGTTTTTACGTTTTACTCATGATTTTCATATAATTAAGATAACGTTTCGTTTCTCCATGTGCAATTTATAACACAACTACAAATAGATACATGTAGGCGATAATGAGTACAGAAGACGATAAAATAATCATAATATCGTATACATATTGCATATGGACGTTTTCGGATCGTTACTCTTTGTAATTAAACAAAGATATACGAAAAACAGCTACTGGCAGTAGTAAATGGCTATCATTACAGACCATCGGAAAAAAAAATTACAGACCACATGTCGAGCGACATATTACCATACCCCCCCCCCCCCCCCCCCCCTAAAAAAAACATGTTCAAATGCCCGATCTATGAAGTTATATTCTATATAGACATCCTTTCAAAAAAAAAAAAAACAAAACATATGATATAGACAGGCAAAATAAGCAGTTTAATAATAATAATAATACATTCAGGATACATTGTCGTAGGAACCGGGAGGTGGCCATGCCCCCCCCCCCCCCCCCAATTTTGCCGATATATAGAATACTATATAAAACAAAGCTACTATATGCTTGTGCCCCGTCAATAAAAACGTCTGATCCCCCCTCTTTTTTTTTTTTTTTTTTTTTTTTGGCTTGTCAAGGAATTTTGGTAGTTGATAGTGCACCCATCTGAAAATGTATGGCTGTGCCCCCCCCCCCCCCCAACTGAAATTGCTACCTACGGGCCTGGGATCTATAATAAATTTATGCAATGACCGAGTCACGAAAAATCAATCAATCGTTTTTAAATTAAATTTTTATCAAGGAGATTGAAAAAAAAAATGAAAACTGCTATTGAATTCATTTTTTTTATACTATATATACAAGGACTAACATAATTGGTCACTTTACTACTTTCTTGTTTAAATGGCAGCAGTAATTGGTCGAACTGTCCCACGTATTTAATGAGTGAGGGTGGGAATCCCACAACCCCCTCCCCCAATAACCCCTGTCCTTTTTTTGTAAATGTAATAAGTTTTTTTTTTGCTTCTTATTTTATATCAATGCTCTAATCCCACCTTTATGAATTTACACTACTACACGTACATGTATAAACATGCTTGTAAATCTGGTTGCCCTCTCTCCCTTGGGCCTGTTACATTTAAGCGGAGTAACTCAAAATAGAGATAGCAAATAGCCTCCCTTTGACATTTTTTTTTTCATGTGTTGGCTAGGTCACAGCATGCATGCGATACCGAAATTACTTAAAACCATAAAGAGTTGTCACTGCCTTGGTTGTAAGTTATTCGTTTATACAATATAGGGCATTTTTCTTATAGAGGCCTATCACAGAAATTACACGCGATCTGTAAAATCAATCTATTGTTTATTTGATTTGTCAACTCGAATTTTCTAGGTTCAGTACTTCATAACATAATTTATGTTAAGAGATCTCTGATCAGTAAAGGTTTTCACTTATAAATATTAATTAATCTTTTGTCTTAAAATGCCACTGGCGATTTCTGAAACGCATGTTGGGTATGGGTTATAATAATAATACATGTAGTTATAATAGACTCTATTGCGTAACATTAACCATTTGTATGCTGTCGATGCAGACTTCACGACATTTATGTTTTGTAAGGTGGCAAAACAATCATTATAAATACGTCTTGGTAGTTGCATCCGATGTAAGTTGTTTAATATTCTACGCTATTCCGACACGGCCACTCAGGAGAAAATAAAGATGTAGCATACATGTTTCTCGGGTGATCTCCCTTTGATTACATAGTGACCATGGTGACGAGGAGCCGGGAGTTGGAAAACAAATTCAAGGCATAAATAAATAGGCTGTCAGAGGAAAAGAGTACACATAATTTTTTTTAAACATTTCAGCATAATGATGAGTTAAATATAGATCAGCTACTTGAAGGAAAAGTCTTGGGTCAGGACTGAGGCGCGTAGTACACAAAATGTCGACATTATTGCATCTACATGCAGTCATGCTTAGCGAGAGTTTTTCGTATTTTTTTGCACCACAACACAAAATAACTTATAATAAATATAACATTAGCATTTCGAAACTTTTTAATATTTACAAAAACAATATAGAATCTTTTTCTTTTCTATTAATGTAGGGTAATCCCCGCTATTTTCACTGTGTGAGTCGGTGCTAAGACATTTGAATCGAACGAAAAGTATTTATTTCGATGTGGCCACACCCCTCGAACAAAATAAAAATATACTTTATTTATTCATATTTTAATCCTCTTTTCAATGGTATAAATTTTATTTTGTTCGAAGGGTGTGGCCACAGCAAAAATTTGAACCAAAGTCGAAAAAATGCTTTATTTTGATAAAAACTAGCAAAGTGCACGTGTTTAGACGTTTTCTGTACAAATATGACGTCATCAAATAAAAAAATTGGCATAAACTATTTAAGTTTGATACCCAAGGATAATGTTTCTATTGTTAATTTTCTTCTTCCCCTCAGTTTAATTTTCCTGAAAAAGTAGGCCGATTTAGCCCCTTCGTGGATTTAGCTCTTTTAAGAACATATGTATTATGAAAACAAATTTTAGTAAATATTCCACTTTAAGTTTTATTCTATGCAAGAAAAAAACACATCCTAGTCTACATTGCAAATTGCTAAAACTTATTTTAGATCTCATTGGATTTTTTTTTCATGTAATGAGCTTCAAAGATATTAGTTATAATGGAGAAAACAAGAAATTATAATTAAAATTCAGATAATTTGAATTTTGGTTTGCATTGAGTCAAGAAGTGTGATTACAAACCTTTCTTCTAATGGAATGAAGTCATCATTTATCTCAAAATCTTCCTCTGTGTCAGCAAAACTTTCTTCGTCTATTAAATAATGGAAATATAATTTATAAATAAGGACATTTTCACACCATATTTTTTATAATGTGGAATCAATGATATAAACATGCCACATCTGTTAAAAGGAAATTTGTTGGCTAAGTTTTGTATTACTCAAATCAAGTTTAATCAAAATAGATTTCTAGGGATTACTCTAGTGATTAAAGTGATTACTCTAGGGAATTACTCTAGGATTACTTTAATGATTATAGGTATTACTCTAAGATTACTTTATTGATTATAGGTATTAATCTAAGATTACTTTAGTGGTTATAGGTAATACTCTAGGATTACTTTAGTGATTACAGGTATTACTCTAGAATTACTTTAGTGATTATAGGTATTACTTTAGGATTACTTTAGTGATTATAGGGATTACTTTTGGATTACTTTAGTGATTATAGGTATTAATTTAGGATTACTTTAGTGATTATAGGTGTTACTCTAAGATTACTTTAGTGATTATAGGTGTTACTCTAGGATTTCTTTAGTGATTATAGGTGTTACTCTAGGATTTCTTTAGTGATTATAGGGATTACTCTAGGATTACTTTAGTGATTATAGGTGTTACTCTAAGATTACTTTAGTGATTATAGGTGTTACTCTAGGATTTCTTTAGTGATTATAGGTGTTACTCTAGGATTTCTTTAGTGATTATAGGGATTACTCTAGGATTACTTTAGTGATGATAGGTATTACTCTAGGATTACTTTAGTGATTATAGGTATTACTTTTGGATTACTTTAGTGATTATAGGGATTACTTTTGGATTACTTTAGTGATTATAGGGATTACTTTTGGATTACTTTAGTGATTATAGGTGTTACTCTAGGATTTCTTTAGTGATTATAGGTGTTACTCTAGGATTACTTTAGTGATTATAGGGATTACTCTAGGATTACTTTAGTGATTATAGGTGTTACTCTAAGATTACTTTAGTGATTATAGGTGTTACTCTAGGATTTCTTTAGTGATTATAGGTGTTACTCTAGGATTTCTTTAGTGATTATAGGGATTACTCTAGGATTACTTTAGTGATTATAGGTATTACTCTAGGATTACTTTAGTGATTATAGGTATGACTTTTGGATTACTTTAGTGATTATAGGTATTAATTTAGGATTACTTTAGTGATTATAGGGATTACTTTTGGATTACTTTAGTGATTATAGGGATTACTTTTGGATTACTTTAGTGATTATAGGTGTTACTCTAGGATTTCTTTAGTGATTATAGGTGTTACTCTAGGATTTCTTTAGTGATTATAGGGATTACTCTAGGATTACTTTAGTGATTATAGGTATTACTCTAGGATTTCTTTAGTGATTATAGGGATTACTCTTGGGTTTACTCTAGATTCAGATCCTGAGCTTTATGCAAAACAGCTAAACAACAAGTGTTCACATCGAAAGTTCATGAGAGATTTTTTTTTTACATAAAAGAATTCCTTAACATTAAAATACAGGTATAAAAGCTGACAGAGGAAGTCTGTTCCATTCATTAAACCCATACAGTGATTTTTTTTTCATAAAGAAATTACCCTCAGAGTCCTTAGCTTGTTTGCTATGATCTGTGTTGACAGCCTTCCTCTTCAGATTATTTTCTTTAGGAATGGCTTCAGGTAAATCATCAAAAAAATCCTCGGATAACTTCTTTTTAGCAAGATCTTCTAGTTTCTTTTGCTGTCATCAGAAAAATACAAAGAAAATTTCAGGGCTCAGTTTTTAATCATCAGTATACAACATTCACACTTTCTTTCAAATATAATTTTTTCAACTGTGAAACAGATAATGGAAAATAACCCACTTATTTTCTGAAGATAGTGTTTTATGTCATATATTTGGAGTGATTTTCATTTTTGTCACCTTCTGTAATTTGAATTGTTCATTAAGCTGCCTCCTTTTATCTTTCACTTTCTGTTTGTTTTGTCCTATTTGCTGCAGAGCTGTTTTCATTTCTTGTAATGCTGCCTTGCGTCCTGAGGAAAACGATACGGCTTCAGGAACTTCATCATCTTCCTCAGAGCCTGCTTCCTCTTCCTCACTCTCATCATCCTGTGTCCGACTTCTTATGTTTAGTGAGATGTCTTCTGTAATAAAGCCAAAGTCAGAGTATCTGTAGATAGAATGCTCTATAGTTAAAATGATAAATGTCCAAGGACTCGGAGGGCCTGTCTCGATCAAGACACAGTCAGATTATTCTAACTAGACTATCTGGTCCACTGATAATTCTTACCAAAAATGGTATAGCCTATATCTTAAATGATTCACATAATGAAGTCCATAATGACAATAAGTAAATATAATCATACATGTTAAATAATTACAACCCTGAAAGGCTTCAATGGTGTTGAACATGAAAAACAATTTCGAAAGTTCTTTTGAATGGAATACAAATTCAAACATTTTGTAAGCAAAACATTACAATGAAAGAATAAAATATATTGAAATGTACAGTTTGTTGACAAAAGTAAAGAATACAAATTGGACTTTTTAACCATGAGTTACTGCATGACCCCTTGAAATCCAACACTTAAAAAGTGTCTACCCTTTACTTTTTTTCAATATATATAATGCTCATTTCTAAAGTGTATAAATATTGAATAAGGATGTTTCAAGTCAATTCTTCTAAACATTGAATAACGCGCAAAAAGGGGAAGAAAGCCTGAGTGGTGTGAGGGTCTGTCCCGAGGCACGATCAAGATTTAGCTGCTGAACAGTAGCTCTCTGGTTGAGAAAATGCAGAACAAGTTAGAGCTACAGTTCCAAGCATTGTAAAAACCTTCGATTTACAGTGCTGCTTTTTTGTCACACACTTTGAGCATTATTTCTTGTATTAATACATGTATTACCCCACTAAAAGCTTGGCATCCAGTTTATTAAAGTTAAAACATACATTTAACTCTGAATCTTGTTACTTTTTTTTACCTTTCAGTGATCCTAAACAGCTCTATGTGGCCTTTGAATGTCAGTTTCAAAAACTCAACATTCCGACCTCATGTTGAGGTCATGCTGTCTAGGACTGTTGAAAGGTAAATTATCAAGTTCATGAGTATTGAGTAAAATATACGGTTAATTAACGGATACGTTTACCATGCTTTTGGCAGTGGAACTCATATAAAACAAAGAATAATAGAGAGCAAAGCAAGCTCAATAGACTAGCGTCTAAGATCAGAGAAAATTCAATTTAAAATCTGTATATTTGTCAAGCAAATTAAATTTTTCTTTGAAACCTTCCCAGAATTCTTTCATTACCAGGATTCCATGTGATAATGGCGAATAAACAGTCCCACAGTTAACATGTATTAAGATTTAGTTCTTACAGAGAGCTTAAACAAAGCAAAAAATAAAGCCTTTCATTACAAAATTGCAAAGGGCCTAGTTAAACTCAGTTAAAATGCAACTAACATATGACATCATGTGATGTCACAGTATACACTTACAGTACCGACCAGACACAACCTAACAGAAAGCGAACCCAAAGCGCACCCCGGGTTCGCTGCCTGGGTTCGCTTCGGGTTCGCTATAGCGGACCCCGAGCGAACCCGCAGCGGACCCCGAGCGAACGCCGAAAGCGAACCCCAAATTCAGTAGCGAACCCAGAAAGCGAACGCGCGTTCGGTGTTGCGTAACTGAGCTATCAATCAGGATTTGCAATAAGACGTGTTAACCAATCAGCGCGTCGAGCGAACAGCATGCAAGTTTGTCATTCGATGTAAATAAAACATTCTACAAGCAAAGCGTGTTTATGTACAGTGTGAAATTATTATTAACACGATTAAAAAAAATAATTATATTTATATTTTAATTATCCAGTTAGCATGTTATATTTACACATTTATTTTCTTTATTTTTATTTTTAAAATCCATTTATTTATATTGCAAAAATTTATCAGACAAGAGTTCTTTAATGTTTAAAAGAAAATAATGGTTATCACAATTGTTACTAAAAAGAAAAAGAAAAAAAAAGCATTTTGACAAATTATAGCATTTCATCATCTCAAGATACTGTACAAGAGTATGTATATGTACGTGCTTTCATTCAATTGTTTTATTTTTATAATTCTAATTTACATTTTTGTTTAAATCCAGATCAACATCAAAATTATTAATCTTCTTAATTGGAAGAAAAGTAAAAAAGAGAGAAAAATAAAAAAAAAGAAAGAACAGCATAAATGTACATGTACTGTATGTCCAATCGTAAACTACAATGGTATTATTTTGATTTATCTTTTACAAAAAAATAATGTAAAGCTTGATTTACCTTGTTGTTGTTGTTGTTGTTTCGTTTTGTTTTTTTTTTATTAACTGAAATAAAAAGAAAAAAAACAACGCGCGATTTACATGTACATTATTGAACGAACTAATTATCGGTAGCAAATAAGCAATATAATAAGTCGTACAGTATTGTATTCTTTTAAAACAGCGTAACTTTAAACGATAAAGCGTATTTAAGATGTTTAACAATTTTTTTCTCTGATGATGGGCCCCGTTAAATGCTTATTGTGGTCATGATATTTTTATATCAATACATCAGAAATGTACATTTTTACCAAAAAAAAATAATAATAATAATTCCCAATACTTGCATAAATAATTAGTCGACAAATGTACAAGACATGATTGTCGGGGTTACTTTTTATCCCTGATACTTATTATTATTTTAATTTCTGCAGATGAATGATGAAAAATCAATGCTGATTTTTGAAATTCATAAATGGAAAGATGGATATAAGTATTCATTCATTATTTAGGCCACTATTAAAATTTTTTTACCCCCATACTGCATATTATAAAATCCAATTGAATCAAAACTCACAGTCAACCTATATCATGTGATAAAACATGCCGCATTCGATCATTTACATTTTTACGTATCAAAAAGATAAAAAGAATTGTAAGTCGGAGAATTACATTAATAATTATTTGTAATCTATAATACCTATTAAATCTTATTTACATGTAGTTTCAAAAATATTTTTTTCTATAATTTTTTTTTCCAGTTTTCCAAAGTCGATTAATTGCAGCAGTAAATATTTTTAATCTAAAATATCTATATATATTAATAAGTTGTTGTTTTTTTTTTAAATATCCACTCCTATATATTTTAAACTATTTTGTGTAAAACCTGATCGTTCGTGTATGTTGTGAAAAATAACATTGCAGACACTGTACATGCACATGTATCGATCGCCACAAAAACAACAATGACCGATTTCACTGCTGTATTTGGAATAAACAAGGGGCGGAGCTTACTGGCGGCAAGATTAAAGCGGGGACCGCTTCGCGCATGAGTGCGTAAAGCGAACCCAGAAAGCGAACGCCGGGTTCGCTCTAGCGGACCCAGAGCTGACCCCGAGCGAACGCAGAGCGAACCCGAAGCGAACCCAGAGCGCACCCAAAATTTCTGAAAGCGGACCCGTAGCGGACCCCGAGCGAACCCAGAGAGCAAACCCGGGGTGCGCTTTGGGTTCGCTCTGGTGTTAGGTTGTGTCTGGTCGGTACTGTATTTCATGACTAAGAAGGGAACAGACAAACTGTTGTCCCGAGGTAATGGGGAAGACCTGGGAAACTGTTGCCCTCAGCCTTCGGCCTTGGGCAACAGTTTCCCAGGTCTTCCCCATTATTGAGGGACAACAGTTTGACTGTTCCCCTCTTAGTCATGAAATAAGTGTTTTATTACCTAACCTACTATATAATTTCTAAAAGTAATGATAACAGACACATCGACAAAAGTTTGTATTATTTCTTTGTATTATCATGCACTAATAAATTGATGTATATATGTATTGTTTAGTAAACAACATAATGATGACTTGAGGGTTTGAATATAATACGCTGAGTCGGACATTTAAGGCAGAGATCTATAGTGAGTGAAAGGGGACTATATTTTCTCCAAATTACCCTCAGAAAAGGTGTTCTTGGCCTCTTCTTCCAAATGATATTCAATTTAATATACATTTATATGGGTAATAGGATTACTCTTCAAATGATAATTTCAAATTTATTGCCATGAAAATGCTTCAATTTATACATAATTCAAAATTATAGCTGTAAAGGACGGGAAATTAATTATGACGTCATAATGGATCAGTTCAGCCATGCAACAGTTCATTCTGTGACTGGGTAAACAGTTTTGACTGTTTCATGATGTGCAAAAACATTGAAATGAATCAGGAAACAATTCAAAATGCCTAATTACAATTTATATAGTAGGTTAAGTAATAATCTAGCCTGTTTCATGTGGTTTAGAGTTTGAAGAGGTAGATCAAAGTGTAAGCTATGTAAAGATACCGTAAAACATATTACCCAAAGCGTGCAACAAAAAGCGGTTCTGTAAATCGAAGGTTTTTACAATGCTTGGATCTGTAGCTCTCTGGTTGGTCGGTCCAAATTTTCTCAACCAGAGAGCTACAGTTCTGCAGCTAAATCAAGATTATTCTTACTACAGATCTGCAGCAACATCACCTTTCAATTAATCTTTTAATTAGCTTTTATTTAAGACTTGCTTTTTAATGTCATGTTGGTACTCATAATCTAACGTTATACATATTCTCTGTTGGTAAACAATGACAAGCTGAGAGAATGCAGCTGCTATGTATTATTTTCATCCTTACCGCCATCTTCGTCACTTGAGTCATCTGAATCATTCTTGTCGTCTTTTGGAAAAAGAACTGACTCATATTCTTCTGCTTTTGCTTTCAAATCTCGAAGTTTACGGCGTCTGAGCATCGTGGTCTTAAGTGAACGATTTACGGCATAATACACGATTTGTTTACGGCAAATAAAACTAAGTTGTACGATAAATGATTCAAATGTTTTTTGGTTTTTTGTTTTGTTTTTTGTTTGTTTGTTTGTTTTTTTTTTTTGGTAAGGTTCCATGCCTAGAAATCCTGTCCTTTTCAGACAGACAGGAGTGAACTCAACTGATATGTAGTTAAAGCAATTTCAGTAAAAAGTGGTGCGAGATAACAAGGGGTAGCAGCTTGGAAAGGGGGGCGGGGGGTCCCAAGGGAGCACCTGTCATGGAACTCTTGACAGTTATACATGGGTGAAGTTCAAAGATCAAGGTCAATGTAAACAGAGAAGTTGTTGATGGCAATGATGTGACCTTGACCTTCAGACCAAAGTTAAGGACACTCAAGTCAGCATTGATTTTTTTTAATGGTTAGTTGTGACATGGCCGTAGGAACCGGGGGGGGGGCACGGGGGGCCTGCCCCCCCCCAATAATTTTGCCGATATATAGATTACTATAGTAAACAGAGATATTATATGCTTGTGCCCCCTCAACTGTCAACTGAAAAATGTATGGCTGTGCCCCCCCCCCCCCAAACTGAAATTGCTTCCTACGGGCCTGTGTTATGTGTATATTTATCTTATCTCAGGCCTGTATAGAAACCAGATGGGCGATGATTTGCCAGCATATACTATATACTAGAAAAAAAGCTTATTCACATTTGTACATCCTCAATTATAACATCTGATTACCCCCCCCCCCCCGCCAATTTTATTGTCGGTGAATTTTTTTTCTTCTTATTTTTTTTTGTTGTTCCCCCAGACTGAAATTGTAAGGACCTGTACATTCAATCCACCCCCACTCTACCCCTTTTCTCAGCACAATAGCAACGTAGAATATATCTCTTAGCTTCAAACCAGTATTTGGATTGACACAAAGTTTAGGAATCTGTAGTCATGACCCCATGTCGGGATGGACACTTTCAGTATGATTGTAGGATGTCTCCAGTATAGTGTTCAGCTAGTGTTCATATATTTAAGATGTTTTGTCGAAATGAATATACGTATTGTATACTTCTTTTATCGGATCTAATCATTTCCATCTCAAGTTGCTTTTATTCTTCATCTTCTTCTCTCATTCCTGAATATTACCAGGCTTTTCTGGAACGTTGTGGCACAATCAAATTCGGATCATTAAATTAGAATTGTTACTTAATTCTCTCCCTAGGCATATGTACACAAAGAATAAGCAGTGCCCATGATTTGAGGCAGGAAGTTCCAAAGAACAATGCCAGATAGGGGAAAAAGGATCCTGGATCTTTGAGAATAAACTTCTTCGGGATTCTTCTAAGCGTTTTACTACTTCGGGAAAATAATGCTTATTTTAAAGAAGCTGATTTTTGTATTGTGGTACCTGTATATAAAATGCCATTGTCTTAGTGATTTTAAACGCTATATTTTTTGTACTCACTCATAATGAAACGAGAATGGACGCTGTATAAGTTCTATGGCTATATAGCATGCTGTTTTGTTGAATGATCTGACAGTGAATTGTATTCGTCTTCATTGTGGCTAAATGTATAGCTTATCACTTTTGATTGTTTTACAGGACGAACAGTTGCTGAAACCCTTCCCCTGAGGACTTACAGTATTGAATAGTTGTCTTGGTTATGAAAGCTAACAACACCTTTAGGCGCGGATAAGCTAAACCTCATGCAATCTTCATGAATTGTGTGTTACAGCTTTCAGGACATGGTCATGGATCTCAGGCCTTTGAATCGCTTAAATCCGACTTACGAAAAATTTGGGGTGTAAAAAAAAAAAAGATAAAGGTGTGGAACTCCTTACATAGGGTACCTACTTTTGCGATTAAAATACTTTTAAATCAAATAATCTAAAATATTTCTTTCTATTCATATCTATCCAGTAAAAAAAATAATGTCAATTTTTTAAATTGATTTCAGCATATCTCGGTATTAGTATACGGAATTTCGCAATGAACTTTGGTAGTAATGTAGGTTCTTTATATGTGAATAGATATGACTAGAAAGTAAAATTTTAGATCTTTTGATTTAAAAGTATTTTATTGGCGAAAGTGGGTACCCTATGAAATGAGTTCCATGCATTTTTTTTTTTTTTTTACACACCCCAAATTTTTTTTAAGTCGGATTAAAGCGATCTAAAGGCCTTTGATCTAGTTCACTGAACACTGTTGCAATTTATGGAGATCTTTTAATATGTGGACCTCCTGAGCCACCCTCCTCTTCTATGATGTTCCTGCTAACAGCTTATGATGCATTACATCTTCTACAAATAATCCTGTTTTAGTCTGAACTTTGAATGATAATTTTACACCAACTTCACCAACTGAAGAGTGAAGCGAATCAGAGACACTTAAAACTAACGAAGATGATTCATGGGCATTTGTACAGGCATTTGTTTCTGTGATAAAAGTTTATCCAATAGTATGATAATAACACCTTGAGATATCGAGTGGAGGTAAACTAAATTTATTACAGAAACAAGTGCCGGTGGGCAGTTGGGGCTATTCTATGCTATATCATCCTATGAAAAAATGCCAAATTAATTAAATGTTAAATTTATGACTCCCTTGCTCAAGGTGACTTCTATATAACTTTTCTTTTGTTGTAAGTAATTTTGCAGTTTATCATGAGAGTGAACTGTCCAAAACCACGTTTATTATACTTCAATAACTTGAAGAAGAATGAAAGAAAAGCTAAAAGGGAATTCTGGAAATAAAAACTAACAGTCAAAATAAAATAAATGATACTGAAACAAACTGAAAATATCAATACATGTAACACCACAGGAATTTTCAAAAACTCCAAGTAATCTATGTACGAGTTGTCGAGTAAGGTAAGATTTACGACAATAACGTATTCTTTTTAATTCTTTAATTTCTTACATTTTATTAAATATCTGTAAATAGTGCAGTTATTCTGATCATATAATTTTTTTCATGAAAGCTAACTAAAAGATAAAATAAAATTACACTTATCTGATTTTACGACTTGTAATTTATATTAGGAGAAAAATGTCGTGTGGTCTGTCAAACTCCACGCTTTTACTAACTTTTCGTCGGTTGTCATGTTTCAGATCAAAGCTTTTGGTATTAAGAGGTAAATCTGTAACATTTGTGATAGATGATAAGGGCTCCGTGTTTTCATGTTTCTTTTTTCATGCAGTAGTGGTCGCCTCATCACCAGAGATAAGATAGAGGAAACTCGAGTTGAAGAATGCAGAGATTGAAAAATTATGTCGATTCACTCCAACTTTTGAAAGTTATGCTTCATATTAGATTTCTAAAAAAAAATAATAAAGCTTATGATCTCCACATATGTATAACCTTATGACTTATTTGCAAAAAATAGGTTTGGAGTCTGACTTCATATCATTTGATCAGGTCTGGTACAATCACTTGATTTAGCTATGCAACTTGAATTACCTACTGTGACTTTATTTAGCTACTTGAGGTAGCTTTATTTGGCTATTTCGATACCACTTGTCACAATTTTGCTTTTTATTTAAAATAGACAAAAAATTGCAAGAATATGACTACTAATATTTATACTAGGGAGCTTTAACAATGCAATCCAAGGCAAAGATAGTTTAAACATTGCTGCTTTTAAACACTTTTAAGCTATAATGGTATTAGCCGTGGATATCGGCCTGGGTAGGTCAGTTGGTAAAGTACCTGACTAGTGATGCAGGGGTCCCAGGTTCCATTCATTTTCTCCTTTCAGCCATACATTTTCTCCTTTCCTGTAACAGATTTGGTGCTTTTGACCACCCCTGGACTTGCAGGTGAAAGTCCTGCCAGGTGCAAATAAAAAACTTGGGTTGTGTCTTCAAGGGCGAAGACAAGTTAAGGAGGGAGGAATGTAATGGTTTGGACTGTGGATATTGGCCTGGGTAGCTCAGTCGGTAGAGCACCTGACTAGTGATGCAGGCGTCCTGGGTTCGATTCCCGGTCCAGCCTTACATTTTCTCCTTTCCTGTTACAAAGCAAAAAATGCATTTCCAGTGTTTGAGTAACTGTGCACCACCTTGTGTTCAGTGAGGCATGTATAAGTATAATTATTCCACATTGTGCTGAATTATTACCAATCAATTGTTATGTTAACTGGTCTTTCTCATTTCATTCAACTTGTAACTGTGTGATCACAAATTAGCTGTTGTATATAGCCTCAAAACTTTTAGAACTTTGATTGCAATTGCACCGTTAGAGACACATCTACAAGAGTAATTTTTCATGAATTGTTTTCGGATCAATTTGAAGTTGAAAATTTTTGCTGCATCAAAGTGCGATTTTCTGCACATCCTGAAAAAAATGCTAATTTTAGAAATGTGTGATTTAGTAGCTAAATAAAGCTACATTAGCTATATAGGTAATTCAAGCTACGTAGGTAAATCTAGTGATTGTACCAGACCTCTTGATGATCATGTACATATATTTGTTGGTAATGTGGAAATGACCAAAATTTTGCAAATAATGAGGGTGACACTCTTATTTAGTTGGTGAAATGGCAGACATGTAAAATCTTTCTGGTGCGGAAACTATTTAATTCAGAAGATTGACCTTTTCAGGTGTAAGTCAAGATGCTACAAGTTCCCCATTCAGACCACCTCAGTTACCCCATAATGTTGATCCTTTTCCTATTTTTATGGAGAAAGAAGTACAGTCTATCCTTAACACCATCACTGGAATTAATCTGAAGAGAACGGCAGAATTACAACCTGCCTTAGAACCAAATAAACCTGTGTTCAAAGTCGTCCCAGACAAAGAGCTCAGAAGAGTTAGTATTAATATGTATTGTTTAAAGGAGACATTTGGATTTAATTCTTTATAAAGAAAAATATCTTTATTTCTTTAATCAATATGTGTTTAGTTATTTAATTATTAACTTGGACTCAAGAGGTCATGTGATGTAAATTATGCAAAGACAACTCTTATGTTGGTGTTCATACAAGTGAGAGAAATTTCAGAACATAATACTTGTAGCAAAAATTAAAATTATATTTGATAATCAGTCTCAAATTACTAGTATATATATAAAGCTCTACTGCATGTGTACTTGTCAAAGCTCAAACATGTACATTCATCAGTAGACATTGCACTTACAGAGATTGGTAAAACAAAATTGCTTTTGGTTGCCTTCTACAGAATGACATAACCTTTTTTGCTTCCAGTTACAAGCAGAGGCTTTCAAAAAAGAAAGAATTAAAATCGAACAGAGGCCGCCATTTATGAATCCTCGGAAAGAAATCGATGTTGAGCTGGCCAGGAATCCAGAGATTGCTCCTGTGATGACTCATAATTTACTGTTTATAGATACCTCAGCCTACACACGATCAGAAAAATTAAATAAGGTCAGCACATTGATATATTTTATATTTCCATTGTAAACAAGTGATCAAAAGCAATGTTTCAGACATTCTTATCAATTGATAGTGAGTAAAACCCAATTTCAAATGAATTTTAAATGTTGAATAATTTGTTACAAGGCTATTGAATGAAATTTGAATTTGAATTACTGTAAAAAGTAGTTCTTTTAAAACTTGATTGTGCTAAGAAAAACATTAAGATATCCTAGTATTCAAGATATTGAGGTTAAAATGCAAATGTGATTGGGACTTCCAACTCAATACAACATTATATGGATGATATTTGAGATATTGATGTTCAAGATAACAAAGTTGAACTGTATTTCAGATTAAAATAGTTAATTTCATGTAAACAGAATATTGCAATCTTTTCTGAATTATTTTACAATTTTGATGACTTTTCTTCATTTCTGTTTTTATCTTCTTGACAGGACAAGTTAATAGTAGTGAGGGACACTGAAGGGACTCTCAGGGAGGCCAGGCATGGGGAGAGAGAGAGGGCCATTCAGATTGCTTTTCCAGCTGAGGGCAGGACAATGTTTCCATCAAATTTCTTCAAACCAGAAAGCATAGAGGTATCATTTACAGGAGTCTTGTATCTGATGTAGATAAATATATATTATTATAACAGTAACTTGATTCAATCACGTCAAGTTGACAGGGGCAGATCATCAGATCAAACTTAATGCTTCGCGTCTCGTTTGATCTGATGATCTGCCCCTGTCAACTTAACCCGTGCCTGTCCATGAGACGTGATATGGCTCTTCGTACCAAGTTACTGTTATAATGATAAATTTATTATATACCCCTTTACAACTAGCAAAATATAATAAAAGGAAACTTTTTGGATCTATTACATAACTTTTTTCCGTTAAACAAACCAAGGAACTTTTTGATGCGCAAGAGTAAAAACGAGGACTATGTCATCAGTTTCAGAGAGGGGTGATATGGATTCAGAAAACCACAGTGTGGTGATCCAGAATGCACTGTCATGTGATTGCATAAATTCATCAGTAAAACTGAGTGACAAACAGTTGGGTACATAATAAAATGAATAATTATAGGCTGATTGCAGGATTCCAAGCTGTTCCCTGTAGGGATGGCAAATAAATACAGAATGGGCCATCGGTTAGCTGCAAGACGTTCTGATCAATTAACAGGTTAATCGTATCAAAATACACATTTTCTTGACATTTTTTAAAGTTCTATTTATTTAAACAAGAGAACTAAATAAGATGCTATTGTAATGTTCTGTTTGGGCTTGATCAGAACTCAACATGTATTCTGTATGTGTATTTCAATTTCAATAGGCAAGAAAAATTCTAATAAAACCATGAAACCTGCCTGGGATATCAGAGGCATTGATATTTCATTTCATTTTGATTTATACTGCATTGTCACCAAGCTGCAATAATGTAGCCCTCTCCAATTTTTTTTTTTTTGGGGGGGGGGGGGGGCTCTTGAAAACATCAGATAAAAAATATCAGAGAGGGCTACATTATTGCAGCTAATTGTCACCATAATCAGAACTAGGTAAATCACTAATTTACGTTAGTTCAATAATATAATTTGATAGACAATCAAAGAGGATAGATTAGGTATGATACACAATCATAATCAGTTAACAGTACTTCTGAGATTCATGCCATATACACTCTTATGTAGAGTGTTCAGGCATGGATCTAAGAAGTCTGATTTTCATTAGAAAGTAATTACCTCCAGCTAACTTAGTGATGTTCAGAGTGTTTTAAAATGAATTTTAAAGAAATTGCATTATTATTTACACGTATTTCAATTTTTTTTTGACTAACCAATTTTAGTTTTTCCAACCGATTAGCATTATTCAGACTGAGTAACTTAATTGTTATCCATAAAAAATTGCCTTTTGAAGTTCCTAGCAATGAACAGAGTAAAAGAAAAGTCAGATTAAGAGGAATGAAGTAGAACTCTTCAACACCATGCCGACATATCTGACACACTTTAAAGTTCAATTAAATTTATGTATCATTTTCCTTAGAGACCCAGAAAGCATTGTCAAAATGTAAAATAATAATTGTTAATGGATTGTATTAGATTGAAATGTATTGTAAACATAAGAATTTGTTAGTTCTTCTGATGTAATTATTTGCAGCTTTGTTGAATTTTTTCAGCCTGATTTTCAAGACTGTTTTTGTTTTAATAAAATATGGAAATGTATAAGTGTTAAACATCAGTATCTATTCCAGTTATTTTTTTATTTTTTTTTTTTTTTTGTAGAATGCTTTAAAGAACTGCCGCTACAGCTACATACTGGACAGACTTTGTTTACAGTATGAGCCGGATGATCCGGAGTTCATACGAGTAAGTGCATTGTAATTTATACCCCCCGCAAACAAAGTTTAGGCGGGGTATATTGGAATCAGCTTGTCCGTCTGTCTGTCTGTCCATCTGTCTGTAGACGAGATTTTGTCCAGACCATTTCTTGGAAACTGTTGCAAGGATTTGTCTGAAAATTTGTACACTTATTCTTCGCCATATGAAGGTGTGCACCTGGTATTTTCATCATGATTGGATAATTTTTTTGCATTTTACAGGTGTTTTTTTCATTTTTAATATGTGGTTTTGTCCGGATCTGTTCCCAGAGACTATTGCATAGATTTGTATGAAAATTTGTACACTTATTATTTACCATATGAAGATGTCCACCTGGTATTTTCAACATTATTTGATAATTTTTCTGCATTTTACAGGTGTTTTTTTTTTTTTCATTTTTATTGACTTAGTCATTTCGGGTTCATGTCTAAGGTTTGAGACATAGAATCTAGAACATCTGAACAAAAATGTGAACTACAGCTTAAAACTACTCATTAGAACTAAAAAAAAATCACAAAGTATTAAAAACAGTTTTTACATTACACAGCAGATAGTGTAAATCCATTTGTCCCTTTGGAGTAATGAGTGGACATGCATCCAGTTAAAGATTAATTAATGAGTTCAGTGTGGGAAGCTGTTAGGGCATCTCTGATCAAGCAAGTCTTATCTATATCTCCTGGGAATTGGGCAAAAAGAAATAAAGATCTCTGTTATCTAAGTCTCTTAATTGTAATTTATGTCTGTCAAAATACATAGTTACTGGAACCAGCCTTTTATTTTCAAAATGAGTATAAAGGTATTAAGATCAATTTCATTTTGTATAATTAATTATGATATTTTTTTTTCAACAATCAATTTGCAGAGTGTCATGTCTCACAAAGATGACAGATAGTTGCAAACTATTTTTTCAATGTAATTAAAAATTACTGTAATTACTAGCATTGATGTTTTATTAGGCTGCACCTTAGTTTCATTCATTAAAAAAATATAATGAGTAATTAAATTTTCACTCTAAATGTTTAAACAAATTGTGAACACCTCTCACATCTAGAAAACATTAGTGATTTGGTACCTTCTCTGAAAAACCCAGCGGGGGGTATGTGTCCCTTTTGGACAGTTCTAGTTTCTGGTTATGAATATTATATTAGGGACATGGTAGAGCTTATAAACGAAGAATCAGCAATGAATGACTAATCGGATACATTCCATGTTTGCTTTATGCTAAAAATTCATTTTTGTTTTAGCCATTATGTTGTTTGTAACTTATCTAGGCAAGTATTATGCTCTGAAAATGAAATGTCTTTGAAAACAGTTTATTTCAATTTTCTTAAATATTTCCCATTATTCAGATGACAAGACAGATTTACAACCACATCTTGGAGAATGAGGAGTTTGATTCTCTCCGTGGAACCCGGCACTTTGGATCCCTGGCATTCTATCTGGCTCTGTGTAGAAGAGAAGAACCTCTGATGCTGGACATGCTACAAAGATACCTGTAGGTACCTGTAGGTCTTTCCAGAAGATTTAATGAGCATGTTTTCTCTTTGAATAAGACTATTTGCATAAACATTATGGCTGAACTCATTAAAAATCTTTTTAAAAAATAAAATTCATTTTTTAGCTCACCTCAACGAAGTTGGGGGAGCTTATGTAATACCCTTATGTAAATACAAAATCCCCACAAACGATGGTGATGCCACAGTACATGTATAGGGAAAATACATTACATTTTTGAAAATCTTCTCTATTCATGGGCATTTGACAGGCAAAGTGTTTCCATGATTATAATAAATGCTAAGCATTCTATCAAAATTATGTAATTCATGGCCCCATTGCCCAGGGTTCAAGCCTCAGGGTTTGGCTAAAGTTGATCATATATTGAAAATACATTACATATTTGAAAATCTTTTTATATACACCTAGCATACAAAATCTAAAAAATAAGAATAAATAAAAAATAAAAATAAACTATCAACCCTTTACCAAAATTGTGATGCATTGAGACTTCAGAGTAAGGGTAAGTTGGTCATATTTTGAAAAAACATTACATTTTATAAAATCTTTTTCTTTACTCATGGACATCTACATTTAGCAGGCAAACTGTTGACATAATTATAATGAGTTCTCAATCTTTTACCTAAGCTTTGAAATTCATTTCCCCTGGCTCCATGGTTCAGGCCAAGGGTAGCACTAAAATTGGTCTTGTATATTGAAAATACATTACATCTTTTAAAATCTTCTCATTGTCATCTAGCAGGCAAATTATTTGCCTGATTACAATGTCCGAGCAGCTAGCCATCTATAAAGATTATAAAGTTCATTCTATCTGGTCCAGGGATTAGGCCCAGGATGGGTCTAAGATGTATATACATGTAATAAAAAAAATTATCATACGAAGCTTATCTTCTTTACTCCTTTACCTCTAGAAAACAAGCTGCATGTATATGAAAGTTCTCACCAAAATAAAATTTCTGTCAATTAGACCAAAGTTCCAGTTCCAAGTGTGGCTAAAATGCTCGAAGCCTGAGAAACTTATGATACTCAAGTGACAATCAAAGCCCATGAACCTTTTTTTTTTTTCAAATTAAAGACAAAATAGAAAACCTGGGAGTATAATACCTATAATGCATACACTATGAATAGTGCTTCATTATGAATCACTGCTTTAACATGGATATACCATGTATGGTACAATTGTGTAGCGATCAGGTGGGTTTGATCGCAGGTGACCAGATAGCTCAGTAGAGCACCTGACTGGAGATTCATGGGGCCCGGGTTCGAATCCCTGTCTGGTCTGTCGCATTCTTCTCCTTTCCTGTTACAGTTGCTTTAATAGTGTTTACTTGATAAGATGAACTTTTATAATTTATTGATAGGGTGCATGCTAAATTATTAGCACATTAAACAAAGAAACGTAGAGGGGATGTCCCTGCTTCCTACTATTTTCTCAGTTAATAGTCAAATTTGATGAATATTTAAGAGAGTCGTCCACATCACTATTGAAATGAAAGTTAAAGACAATTCAAATCAGTGGTCATTTGAAAGAGTGCCTGTTTTACTGAAAGTTTAAAATACACCTTTGCTATGTTCTTTTGTTGTAGTGTCCTGGATGCGTGTGATTACCTAAGTCTGCTAGATAAGCTACACATGCCTCGGCAATACAAACGTCCTGATTATAAACTGGATAACGTTAAGGTTTGTATTTTCAGTTTGACTTTGTATGTTCAGTTTGACTCACTTCTCTAATTGCCTGACACCAAGAGCGTCAGGTAGGTTAAAGATTAATTTTTCCATGGTGCCAAACTGTGGGTTGCATTCAAATCATGACCCCAGAGGGTAGGGAGGGGCCACAATGGACAATCAAAGATTAATTTACATAGGAATACATAGGATTTTTTTTTTAAATCTTCTCAAGAATAGCAAAGCCATGAATGGTCATATTTATATTGAAGCAACCTCAGGTAGTATAGATTCAAATCTGTTCAAATCATGACCCCCAGGGGTAGGATGGGGCCAAGATTTACATAGGAATATATAGGAAAAAATCTTTTAAAATCTTCTTCTTAAGAACAGCAAAGCCATGATTGGTCATATTTATATGAAAGCATCCTCAGGTTGTGTATATTCAAGTTTGTTCAAATCATGACCTCTGGGGGTAGGGTGGGACCACAATGGAAGATTTACATAGCAATACATAGGAAAAATCTTTATCTAATTACATTAAGGTAAATTTATTTTTTGAAAGAAAATCCAAAACAATTTTCATTTAATTAACTACTCATGACAAGATTATGCTCAAAAAGAAAAAAAAATCAACAAATAAAACACTACAATAATCACAAAGAAAACTCGAGGATTTTTTAAAGGAAAAACTTATTGTAAAATAAACTTCTACATGTAGTTAATCTGTGGTTACTTTCTATATGTTTCTAAGTTTTTATATGAGACCAAATTACACACTGTCAAATATTCCATTAATGAGTTTATGTTTGCAAACATCTCTCTGCTAATTGGGAGGAATTTGCAAAAACCAAACATTTTATTACTTTTGTTATTGAGAGGAATGAAAGTCACTAAATTCAGGGATATTTGCGTGTCACATTAGACAAGTTGCTGATGCAGGTAAATATGATGTACCGGGAAAAATTTCTTGGAAGGAAATTTAACAGTGGCATACAACAGGGAGTACCTTAACACAGGAGGTTGCTATGATGGGTTTGACTGTTTTTTGTATATCTACATTCTACTATTAAATTATCTTTTCTATATTTTTAGAAAATTTTGGAGAAATATGTCAGTAAAAGATCAAGAAAAACGACAGAGGTAAATAAGCTTAAAGAGGCCATGAACAACGTAAGGAGCAGGGGCCTGGCAAAGGTGATAGAGGACAACCAATCAGAACGGGCCCTTCTGGAGAACTATCTTAACGAGTGACCAGGTTCTGACAAGTGTAGTGCATTGTTTGTTCTAATATTAAATGATTAATACACTCTCAGTCTTTGTTATTCTAAAATGACTATACAGTAAAATTTATAGGTAAAGTGTATTAGGAAATGGAATTCAGAAATCAGAAGCAGCACAGAGATTGTAAACCATTTTTATTAGCATGCCAGAAATATCTGCGAGTTCCATGACCTTCTTTACAGGGGCCGGGAAATACCAGTGGTGGGAATTACCAGTGGTAAATACTGGTATTTCCCATCCTGGGAAATACTACAAATTTTCTCTAAATGGGAAATACTGGGAAATACAAAGTTAAGTTTTTTTATCTCTTTAATTCATGCAATCTTATTCAAAATTCTTAAAATAAAATAAATATAAAAACCGGAGATGAATAATATGGAATATGTCTCAAATTGCAATTATTCAGAATGTATTACTACTCCAGGTCCCATACCCATAAGCATTCTGAAACATTTCCCTGGATGTATAAAACTGAGTTTTTCCAATTCAAGTTTCTTTTAGTTTATTAATAATAAATCCAAGAAAAAGAAATGTTTTAATCCTTCTGTAAACACTGTGCTTATTACAAACAATCGTGTTGTTTTAGCAAATTGCTCTAGACAGTTTTGTACTCCTGTTTTACGAGATAATTACCTTGAAGAGAACTGATAGGCTTCTTCTTAGGTTTGATATTTATAATTATACCATACTCTACATTTAAGAATTTTCTCAGATCCTTCTTTAGTTACATAAAAAACCCAATTGGGATCTTTGGGTTCATTTCATGGACCTTTATAGACTACATCTGACTCAAGCATGAAACATGACACTCATGACTGATATATAAGTATACTATGTTATGATTATATAAAATGAATTACTTGGAAACCAGATTTCTTTTAATCAGGGACAGTGATACCAGGTAGATATCTTAGCCAATAAGGTGTACTACATGTCAATATGAATGAAATATGTAGCTATTTCTTATTTCCCGGGAAATACCAGTAATTCTTGGTAATTACCAGTATTTCCCACTGTCCTGGGAAATATGAGTATTTCCCAGTCTTTTGCCAACCCTGCTTCTTTACCTGCTAATAATTCTTGTCACAAATCACATTTTTTTTTGTATATACATGTATATGTATGTGGAAAGTTTACTCGGTTGTGAAAATTAATAATTGCGGATGAATTTCAAACTGGTAAAGAATTGAAGAGTTGCTGTGCATAATGGTTGGCTTACAGTATTCTATTAAATTACAGACATGTACCCCTGTGGTGTTTTAGGCTATTGAAACAAATTACAAGACTATTTCAATCCATTTTTGCTAAGTGCGGAACTCCAATCATTTACATCCAGATTAAACATTTTTTGCCACCTAGGATAAGGGAAAGTGGCTTTCTGTGAAAGAAAAAAATTGTATACAAAATCTGTTCATTTCATTCTTGAGCTAGTCTTATCAGCATATATAGGTCAAAGGTCAAGGGTGATATTTCAATTTATAAGCTGGTAATCATGAGGCCCCAGGTGGACTCTAACAACCTGTGTAAATGACAACATGTAAAACTGGTGTCCTCGGTGACCTTTGGTCAGAATCAAGATGCAACATTCATATGCAGCCTATATCTTGGTCATCTACTAATGGTTTGTTTAGTTGTGTATAATAGAAAAAAAACAAAAGCTAATTCTAACTGCAAAGAGAGGATAAAACCATGTTTTGTGATCCTCTGAGCTAGAGTCCTTTGGACAATGTCACATGGTTCCATAGATAGTGTAGGATTTAGTTTGGATCATCTGATGCTTTGTACAAAGGATGCTTGTGATCAGAGGGTGGGCCATGATCCTGTTTCCCTGATCTTAGATTGTTTGGTAGAGGTCAGGTTTAAAGAACATAAAATTTTGGTCCCTGACATATGACTTTGTAAAAAGCTTGTACTAACCTCAGTTTAGGTGCTGTTGACCTGGGTATTTCTTCAATGTCACAGGATTTCAAAGAGTGAAGTTTTGTCCAGAGATTTCAAAAGCTTATTAGTCAAAAGGCTGCATAGATTTGGCTGTGTAAAATTTTTGTAGCATTTTTACATGCAAATTTAAATATGCAAGTTTTTTTGTGTGCCCCAGGAGGAAGGGGGGTCTCATAGTTTGTCTGCCAAATAAACTTGAATGTACACAATATAAAGAAGCTTTCACATTTGATTGATTGATTGAATGTTGTTTTACGTCCCCTTCGAGAATTTTTCACTCATATAGAGACGTCAACTTATATTGGTGAAGGGCTTCAAATTTAGACCTTTACTCAACACTCAGGGCTATTGAGCAGTGAGGGTTCTTTATCTGAAAATGCCTACCATGACATGGCCTCGGTCATCAAAAAGACCCGCAACTTTCATTCCAAAGTGCCGAGCGCTTGGCGAAGGAACAGTTCTACCTATTTTTTATCGACTTAGGTGAGTCACGGCCATGATTCAAACAACGACCTTCTCATCACAGAGCGAGCGCTCTACCGACTGAGCTACCATGACTGTCTCCTTCATTTGAAGAAACTTGAATCCCCTTCACCCAAGAATGTTTGTTGCAAGTTGGGTTGAAATAAGTTTAGTGGTTCTTGAGAAGAAGTCAAAAATGTAAAAAGTTTACGACAACACCAACAACAACAGGCAAATTTTTATCAGAAAAGCTCACTTGAGCCTTCAGCTCAGGTGAGCTAATAATGCGATTTTTAATAATGTAGATTGCAGTTCTTATTCAGATTATGCAGTGAAAGGCAGTTGAGCATGTAAAGATGCCCTTTTTGTATTTAGAGAATTTTTTGTGAGTTTTCTTTATTGTCAAATTTGCAATTGAGATAAGTCCATTTAAATGTTTAAAACTGCCTTATTTAGTTATAAAAATCCTAATTTTGGCCCTAAAATTTGACCTTATTTTTTGTCAAGTGCTGGACAGCCTGGCCTTACCGTATCTCCAGCACCCCTAATCAGGGCGCTATGAATTTCACAATTTGGAAGAAGTACTCTTGCTGAGTGTAACCGTACACTTAGTTTTTCTGCTTTAACATACCCAAGAGCAGACATGGTTTTAAAAAAATTGAGGCATTTGCACCATATGATCAATAGAGCCTCACATTAACTCTAGCACCCCGACCCTGGGGCCATGAATTTCACAATTTTGGAAGAGGTACCCTTGTTCATCATAATTATGTACTTAATTTGTTTGCTAATTATACAGGAACACAATTATACAGGAACACAGAAGATTTTCAAAGAATTACTTTATGCAGGGTAATTTTCATCCTTCCATCCTTGAAAATAATTTTGCCCAGTTTTAAATTTGCCCAAACACAGATGTGCTAAGAAATAATACTTTTTTCTTTGAATTTGCCCCATTTTAATTCGCCCTCTTGCAAGGAGGGCAAAAATAAAACAAGGGGAAAATTTCCCTGTATATAGTATTGCATTTTCATGATATGATTAATAAAGCCCCACCCTAATAACCGTAAATCTGACCCTGGGGCCCTGAATTTCACAATTTTAGAAGAGGCATCTTTCCTCATCATGAACATGCACTTTGTCTGCTAAATACCCAGGATATTCCATGGTTTATTGACCAATTAAGGGCTCTCAAGGGGCAAAAAGGATAAGAAAAGAAGATTTTCAAAGAAAATTTGCATTTTCAATATATGATTAATAAATGTCCCAACACCAGAACCCCCAACCCTGGGACCAAGATTCCTTCTTAATTTTGGAAGAAACATTCTTGCTGATCATAACTATGCATTTAGTTTGTCTTTTATTTATACAGGAGGAAGAAGAAGCAATTTAAAAAACTTATGCATTTTCACTATACGATCAATAGAGCCCCATCCAAACACCAGAACCCCTAATCCGAGATTCCTTTGACTCTAGCCCCCACTTTAAATTTATATTTTGACATGTGCAGGGGAGAGTCAGAGTGGTGGCAATATTGAAAAATGGGAATTCAGCAACATCAGCTGGTGTCGCTACTCTGCCTACCTTTTACAACTTTATTTCATGGACCTAACTTCTGAGAAGTGAGAACTCAGTAAAGGAATGATTCTTTTACCCTTAATCATCCCCATGATTTTATCGCTGATTTCTTTGCACAAAGAAATTGAATGGCAAGGAGGTAATGCTTCATTTGTTGGTGGAAGGGCAGTTTAAATGGCAATCAAATCATATTACTGATGAGTAAGTAGAAGAAGAATCATTCCTTTAATGAGTTCTCACTTCTTGGAAGTTAGATCCACGAAATAAAGGTGTAAAAAGTAGGCAGAGTAGCGACATCAGCTGATGTCGCTGAATAGGGACACCAGCTGGTGTCGCTGAATTTTCACTTCTCAATATTGCCACCTGACTCTCCCCAGCATATGTCAAAATATAAAAGCGTGGGCTAAGAGTCAGAGGAATCTCAGATTACAGAACCCTGACCCTCGGGCCACGAATTTCACAATTTAAGTAGAAGGCTCAATGCTCATTATAATCATGCCAACAATTTGACTTCTTGATGTCCAGGAGTAAAGAAGATTGAATTAATTTTGATGGTTTTGGCCCCATCCCTCATGCCCAGGGGATGACCTTACCAACTCAAGCGAACTAAAAATCTTTGAAAAATCTATGAACAAGAGCAGGGCCATGATAAGTCTTAATGTGCAAGCACCCTCAGGTGGTGTAGATTCAGTTTGTTTAGATCAGGGCCCCAAAGGGTAGGTAAGGGCTACAATAAGGAATCAAGAGTTTTCAAGGAAATATGTAGGAACAAATCAAAGTTATTCTGTAGAACAGCAGGGATGACTCAGGTTTCAAATTTTGTGGAATTCCACTTCGACCCTAAATTGCTTCCTGCATTTAAATTTGGCTTATTTATTATTTTCTCGCCTATACCAACACTTTGTTCAATTAATCTATTGGTGCCCAAGTAGTATTGTTTTCTTAGTCATCTAAGCAAACCTAGCTAGCCACACAGTTTTGGGAGACCTTGGATGAGTTTTCATTGTGCAGCAATATACGAATCCAACCTTTGAACTTTATTATTTCATGACCTGTTGGCCCACTTTACCTTTGTATGTCTGCTGATATTAAAACTCTGCAAGGGCTATATAATGCAGATAAGAACGTGGAACAGTGTGCCCACACAATTTCTGCACCAAACTGATAAGATTTTAGGCCTCTGATTATCACAAGCTCTCTACCAACTTCCGGATTTAAGGTAAATAAAAGGTAAAAACTTGCACGCTAACATTCTTTTGAAATGCTATCTTCAATGGCTGTGTTTGCCCTCTTGCCAAGAGATTGTTGAAAACACATAAATATTTATGTTGTTTGTTGTGCCATTTGTAAACACAAATCCAAACATGAAATCACCCCTCCAGTCCTTGTTTTCCAGAACTCTACAAATTCATTCTGGGTCATTGTAACCCACTTAAAAAACAAAAACAATCTCATGAGTTTTTTCCTTCAGATTTTAATAGGGACAAACATTTTTCACCTTGATGTAAGATAACAAAAGAAAGTTTACTGGGCAATGTCATTAAGTTACCTTCACACTTCATGAATTGATACAGGTATAAATATTCCTGAGCAAGCAATCATCATATATGTTTAGTGTCAGAATTATATTTTGTTTATGGAGTACCTCTCTTCTAATTTACAAAAAGCAAAACATATTCTAAATGACACACTGACTCGATAAATTAATAAATGTACTGCTTTTAGAACTTGTCTTTCCTTCTATCGAGCAAAAAGATGTTTTTTTTTAAATGTTTCTCCAAATAAACAGCTAATGCACATCACATATGATACATTAAATCTGGTTCATTTAAAAATGTTGCTGAATTATGGACATTTCATAACATGGCACATTCCTTGTAAACAACAATTGTCAAGTCACTGCAGAAAAAAACCAAACATTTATACTTAAAGTCGACCTTTTCTTCAGTAGAACATGCAAATATTTTCATGCAATATTTTCAGCAAGCCATTCATACATGACTAGCACTATCTCAGATTCACAGATTGGCACAAAGATTATGTTGAACACATCACGTCAGAGACAGGAGATGCCATTGATGTCTCCCTTTGTGAGAGCGACTGAAATGAAATCCTGCTGGTTGGACATTTTATCACAGAATGCTAACCATCCTTAATACTTAATTTGAGAAAAGATACACAACTAGTTCATATGTGGCCATCATAATAGCTGTGTTTGGGATTTGTCGAATAAGTTGAGTTCCAATCCCCCGATACAACCCAGCTCTTCCTTCCTCCTTGTACACCACCAATAACGTCTGGAAAAATGAGCGATATTTTGTTCCCTCCTCTCTCAACCTTGTTCTTGCAACCTCTGGAATAATTCAAATAAATTTCTTTAAATACTCCTACAAACAAATATTAACCAGTTATGATAATTTGTAAGAATGAATTTATTACTGTGGATTGACACTTACCATGTGGGTAGGCAACACAAGTTGCAATTGTTTTAGACGTTGCACCAGCCAACATACATCGCAGGAAATTGTTTCCATTGGAGTGATCCCCTGGAAACTGTTCCTGTAGCCGTGCTTTGATAGCCTCATAGATCACAAAGTGGATAACTGTCTCGGCCATTCCATAATAGGAGGCAGTGATTCCCTTGTAAAAGCCACGGATCCCATGTTGCTGGTGGATTTGTCGGACACACTCGCGCACTGTTAGCCTATTGTTCCTCCTAATGACACAAACATACCATGTTATCAATACAAATTTTATCCCAGAAATTAATTATCTAATAAGAATTGAAATTGATAGTTTTTCTTGTCTTAATTCCCCTTACTTTTGATCTAGCTGTAGCCTCGTCTTTATAAACCAGATAGGGTTGGTGAGAGTGCAGGAGGTGAAACCTGAAAAATATCTCCATGTTTAGATCTCATGTTGTTAGCATTATTTTCATCATATTATCCATTACCAGTAGAATACAGTTATCCCAAAACTGAGTATATATGTTGTTGCAAGCACTTGGAGAAAATGAATATATAATAGCATATATATTGAGAGGTTATGGTATGCAGACATAAAATAAATTGTAAAATCTATTATACTGTAGGCAAATGTGACAATATTTGTAATTTTGTATGTCAAATGTATGTATGGCACACTGTTAATGATGTGAGTTGAGTAATGTCGAGTGCCTAACCCCTACTCTCAATTTCTTAGCAATTTTAAAGAGATTTTCCCCCCTTATATTTTTCTCTTAATTTTCTTGTAAATTTGCAAAATTGATGCATAAATGCCAAGCATACAAGTTTTTTTTTTCTTAAAACAGGTTATAAAAATCTTGTAGGGTTTCATCTTTTAATTTAGGGCCTACATTGTAGCTAATTGTACATCCATGCATCAATATTGCAATATCTTCCACAATGGTAAAGATTCCAAACAGAGCCAAAATCCAAGTAACCTTTACTGTACCTTTAAGTACCCTCTGTTAATAGTGCCCTCTGGCGAGGGAGAAGAAAAGGGGCAGTACTCAAGTGTACTGTAGTTTTCTCTATTGAAAGCTGCAGCATCCATCTGAAAAAACTTATGTTTAGGATTTGCTGCCACGAAAACATTAACATGAATTTACATATATTCTCCTTGTTAAAAAAAATTCCCCTTCAGATTTTATTGTGAAGTTCAAGTCTTACAAGGGTGTGCTTCAAAACTGTTGTTTGCCATTGTTAAATGTGACACGTACTGTCAAACTTTGTAATTTTTGATTTAGTTATATAGAGATTGCATTTCATAAGAACTGTTGGTATTTGCGGTCTCACAAAGGAACAATGGCAAGTACACAGCTGACCACAAAATATGACAAGGGAAACAAGTCAGGATTCAGATGTAATATTTGGTAACTGATGATTTTGATGGCAGAGTTAGTAAATTCAGTTTTTTTAACTTAAAAATTTGATGCTTATAAAAGAAACACTGAATTATTTGACTTGGTGTTGAATTTAACACAAAATATACAAAGGCAAAATGCATTCATTAAGTTGTGCCATATTTTATGGGGTCATCTTAATGATCAGTATTTTCACTATATATAGATTTTAGGAAAGTTGCATTAGTTCCTTCACATGTGCTTCATGAAAACAATAAAGTAACATGTTTAATGTTGTGATTTTTTGTAATTTTGGAACAAAAATGCTTGATATAGGAATTTTAAGAGTTAAACGATCCTGCCCTTACATACAACATTGGAAACTATCTCCTACCAAATGATGTCAATTCTTCTTGGCCAACGATGATGATTGGGTCCTTAACTGCAATAAGTTTAGCGTGCCCAAGCCACTCACAAAAACTTAAAATGTATAGATCTATTAAATAAATAAATCACATAAAATTACCTGCAGTTAGTGCCGAGAAGAAATGAACGATTGGTGTATCAGGGGTTAGCCTTGAGTTGAGAAAGGTCTTCATGTTGGCATAGGAAAAGAAGTAAATGGCCCTGAAAGACACAAGATGGCATGATCAGGATGCTTTGTACAGTGAACATTTTCACTATGTTATGAGAAATTGAAATTATTTGATTTATTTATATCAAATCATCAGGGCTTAATATCTGTGCATGCTGGTCCGGTAAAAGGACCTAATCCACATTGAAATTTAACTGTTTTCCAAACATAAGGGCAAGTGCCTTAATTTTTACAGAATTCAGATTATATGTAACTGAGTGTAAGATACATCTACAATCTGATGGTCTCTATTTTACAGAAAAAAAAAATATCAGTCATCATTATTTTCCCATTCCACCATTTTTTTCAATTTGAAATTCCCCAATTGAATTGCAAGTTATTCTTAAATGTGGGTCAACCACACCAGGTATTTATTAAGTATAGCTACCAGTATGCTGCCATGTTATCTGTGTGCAAAGTTCTTTTTTTTTTTAAAAATATTCCATCAATATTACAAGTTCTTTGTTATTGTTGTGGGAAATCTTTGTAATTACTTGGCAGGTAGTTCCTCTATTACACGAAGTTTTAAATAGGCACTGGGAAAATTACCGTGATCTGTCATGCCAAATATGACCTGGCACACTGCCAAAGTCTGCATATTCTGTATTGTTTATATTGTTCTGCTTGATTGATTTGCACGTTAAACAAGGTACACAAGGTGAACAGATACTTGAGACATGTTAAAGAATTCCATCTTGTTTAATTGATCCATACTCCAAACATGGTAAATTTCTAGAGTATTATCTAATTAATAATCATGTATATTACTTTTGTAGCCTACATGCTCTATACTTATATTGTCTTCTTTATTTAATTTTTTTTTTTTGAATAAAGGTTCATCACGCTTCTCCTGTAATTTTTAATGTTATTCAACCCCAGTTAATGTCTTTTTGTTAATGCCTGGGGCCAACAAATTTAATGTTGATCTATTGACGTACAAGTCTTGCCTAAATGAATAGGTTATAAAACAACTCTTATATGAACTTTACAAACCAACTAAAGGACGTCAAAGCCATTAAGTGTTTGTGATTTGATTTTCAAACTTGTGAAAATTAATGTCTTATTCAGAAAACCCTTCCAAAATCAACTTATTGATAGTGCCTATTATAATCAGTGAAAGGTGTATCCAAAATTATAAAACTAGAAAAATACTGCACATTTTCACTCCATTACAATTAAAAAAGCCACTGGCATATGTGGCTACAGTTTCTTTCTCAATTTAAAATAGATCTCCAACAGTGTTTTACCTGGAGGGGGCTACTCCGACGAGATTCGGTCCTAAACCCTTAAAGAGACCTTGAACACCCTCTGTTTCCAGGATATGTCTGTAATGAAAAAAAGATTTCTAGCAATTTCCAAAATGTGCATATAACTAACTTGTTTTATTTTATAATTATAATGGAATCAAGTATGTTTAGTTCATGATTTATTCTGTCAAAATAATTCACAGCTTCGTGATGGCTTGAAAAAATTAGTACACGAGGGAATCATATTAATCCAAGCTAAGACGAGTTAATCTTAACAATAACAGTACATTTAATTCATAGCAATGTGTATTCCATTTACCGTAAGCAATGGTCAAGTTACGTTAATCCAGATTAATATATTTATAGAGTGGACCTGCTTTAAATTACTGTTTATGCACCATTTAACCTAGTGCATTACTTACGCCAGACAATATCTTAGACTCCCTGTTGGTGATCTCATCAGAGGGAATACAGCCCCCTGACTGGTGTGGATACCAGCTGCATGCGCGGCCAGCACGGTATTGTGTGAAGGACGAAAGGCGGGGTGAGATGCAGTCAGTGACGTTCCCAGGGATGACTGTAAGCGGGTCTTGACCACTTCAAGTGGACAAGTCGCCACTGCACCAGCTGTACCTCCAGCACTGAAAAAAAAAATTTTTTAAATAATAATCAAATTTCAATTTATATGTGATAAAATCTTTAATTCAATTACTTTCCTCCATTTTTTGAAATTTAAATTAAAATTTCAAAGCCATACATTTCTTGCATAACTCTTCATATGGTTATTCAGGTGTTTTCCAACTCAAACCAGTTTAAGCCAGTCAACAACTCATTATCAATTATTCACTACTGACATTTAAATTCATCAAAAAATATTTTAATTAAGAAACTTATACCTGAGAAGTGAAATCATGCTACCTCTACAATTTATCTGCATGTTGATTGACTTTCAAAAAAATACTTTAAATGCAAATTACAAATGTTTACAGTTGACATTAAGAAGTTAATCATCAATCCTATTCTTTGAAATTAAATAATTTGTTAAAAATGTTTGTAAATTAGTTACTAATTTTATTTGTGACTATCTGGAATAATTCATCTAACATCTATAACCACGTAATCATGCAGACAGACTGTGACATTGGTAATTGGGTCACTGATCTAATGACTAATGACACACTTTAAATTCTGTCTGTTGTTTTTAACAAAAATCTTACTGGAATATTCATATTTAATTATCATCTGAAAACAAGAGGACAATATTTCTTCTTCTGATATTCTGTTAAGTGTTTAATGTTTACAGTGACAAATTAGCTGGAGGCATAATTCAGATTATGCAAGTGTTTGGTGTGAATGCACAGCATGTTTGCAATTCTGCATTTAAAAAAACACTGCATTTAACGTTTATTTATTATTTTTAAGTACAAGGTAAAAACATTATCCTATCTTGTGAGAATAGTTCCTGATCACAGAGCATATCATGATGTAATCTGAAAATGTTATGAAATTACAGTGACTGTCGTGGATAAAATTTCTTTGTAGTACGCCTAGTTTTAAAATTTTTACCCAATTAGTTTGATAACTTTCTAGATCTATAAGTATAACAGAAAACCAGATGAATTACACACAGTTTACTATGAAATATGGGTCATTGAACGACCTTTAGTTCTACACGCACGTGCAGAAAATTCATACAGGATTTAGGGCCTAAAAATTTCGTTTAAAAAACATTATAAACATGGTAAACAATGCTTGATTTCACTGCATTTTGCATAATTTATCTGGGAAAGTTGTTTTAAAATCTATTGTTTACATGCATGTTTCATACGACAAAATGACCATTTCGTGCATAAAATCACTTCAAACATAAATTATATCCGAAATATATTAAAAACTTACCCCCCAGCAATTAAATGTACAAATATTCCTCTGTCTGATGCCATTTCTAAGAGCTTCCAGAAACACGACTATCTTCGTTACATGCACTATTCGAAACAAGCATACTCTTCGTGAAATTTTCGAGCACGAGATGGAAACATGATCGCCCTACTTTTAGACCAATGATATTGCTTGGATCCTTCTCTTCATTCATCCCATTGGATGTATTAAAATAGACGAGCACATGGATCTTTGACCTTGGGAATTTTTCCCCGACGTTGGGTTTATTTACAAACAGAAAATGTTAATGAATTGTTTTTAAATTAATATTAAGTAATCAAGGTATGATGTATGGGGACGGGGTGTGGGGGAGCATGGTCCCTTCACTCATGGATTTGCTCCTTCGTCGATCGACCTCTACTTAATGTTAATTAGGCCTAGTTAAAAAATAATTTCAGTCTCCATAAAAAAATAAATGAAAAAAAAATTGATTTAAAAAAAGGGGGGGAGAAAGAAAAAGAGGTGAAAGGCGTGAGCTAGCTTGCTCCCGCTGTGTTAAAAAAATCTACTATACAAAGAAAGGAATCCAATGTCACTGACAGGAAAAATATATTTCTAAAAGAATCATCGTGTTAATTTATTTTAACAACGTTGCATTTATTTATTTTCTCTATATAAGTACTACCTGTTCAGGCTATAATTTTGATTTCAATAAGAAGCACCGAAAGTATTGGGGAGGGAACCCCCCCCCTTTCTGTTTGTGTATGTGTGTGCTTGGGTGTAAAAGTTTTTTTGGGGGGGGGGGTGCCCCTCTCTCCCAGACTGAAAAAAGATCTACGTTTCAAATACTTTTATTAAGTGCATGCTTGCATGGTTATTAGATATTAACTGTTAAAAGTTAAAATATTTCAAAAGCAAACAAATCAATTCCAACATGTTTTTGGAACACCACGGCCAATATTTTATTAATTAAGTTAATATATATATATTTTTAAATATTGTACACTGTAAAAATGCGGTCCTGAAAAAAAAAAGGGAAGCTGTAAATTTCGAAAATCACAATCTTGTTTCAAGATTAAAAAGTTTGAGGAGTGTCTTGACTCTTTTTACATGAAGAAAGAAATAATGTTAATAAATGTTCCATCCAATGCGTGCATATTACAAATTGGGAGGTTAACGAAGTTAGCTAAGTGTGTATAACAATCAGTCACGTGTGTGAAGTGACACGTGCGATCTGCTTATCGGTCGGCCATTCAGAGGTCAGACGAAAAGAGAGGAAAAATTCAGTAAAAGTCTTTTGATTAATAAATAACAGTCACAATGGAATATAGAATTTACGGAATATATCAGTGAAACGATTTCAACTGTGCGTGTACGTGTTTGTTTGTGTGTTTGGTTTTTTGTTTTGTTTTTGTTTTTTTTTTTAAATAATTTATTAAAGTGATATGGTCTGTTATTCTGCAAAGTTTAGCAATAGAGAGATTGATGTTAAAAAACATGGTAAATAAATGTTAAAAAAATTACCCCCACTGACGAAAAAAATGTCCTCACGTACAACGAGATAATATAATACACGGACATTATGTCAATTAAAAGAATTCAATATGAAAAAAAAATATTATCGCAAGACCTTGAATGTCCACATACCTATATAATAGGGATGTCAAAGAGTACCCGGTTAACCGGGTACTCGATCGAACGTCCGAGTATCGAATACTAAAAATGGTACTCGGTTACTCGGAAGTGTGTTTTTTTCTTATTTCAAAGTACATATTTTTATCAAAAACTTAATGTTATATAGTATATAACATTAAATAATGAACTGATGAAACTCGATGTACATACGAGCTTGTTTTTTTTTTTTTTTTTTTTGCATGAAATCTGTTTAGAGATCTATTTTTTGTGACATCTAACGTTTTAGATTTGTATTTTGGACGCAAAGTGCGGACCACAGACCCGTACGTAGCAACGGTTTAAAAAAAAGGGGGGGGGACCTCGCCAAAAAATCTGACATGCCAAAAAAAAAACTATAGCAGAATGCTATACTGAGAAAATAGTGCCCCCCCCCCCCCGTGTTCTAGGGCCTGAACCGTATATGTAACGAACTAATGTTACATTTATCTACAAATATTCATTTTCTCATATAATGTATTTTGACTGGTGTGCGTTGTGGCTCACACTTCCCTTGCCCCACCCCACCCCCTTTAACTGGAAATCCTGAATCCGCCATTTACAGAGGACCCTATACAAGTTTGTTTGCAAACAAGCAGTCAAGTGAGATGGCACGTGAGGTCAGGCAAGTAAATATCGGTCGGGCCAATCACCGGTCAGGCTAGACTAGTGCATTTCAAGAAAAATATCTCTCACAGAGGTGGATCAAAGACTTGTTGTAGGAGGACCGAGCGATATTTTTAGTTAAGAAGCCCATGGAATACAAGAGTAACATTTTCTTAGGAATAATTGGCATTATATGGAGGGGTGCATTGGGTGCTGTCCCTCCTTTTTATTAATTTTGAATGAAACATGATAAATTTCAGATTATTAATCTGTTTAACAGGAAATGCTGCTGCTCTCTCTCTCTCTCTCTCTCTCTAGAATTTTTCAAAGTCCAAGGGAATTAACGCTGTCAAAAATTGCTCGATCGCACCCAAAATAGAACTTGACCTAGATGAAATATATGGAGAAAACGAACAGTATTCAAGCTCAAAAGTCCATTAAACAATACAAGATAGGAGCAGAGCAAACACGGACCTCCAAAACATCAGAGGTCGGATCAGGTGCCATGGAGGAGTGAGCATCTCCTGCCGTCCGGTCACACCCGACGTGTGCTCCCTGTCATGATCGGGAAATAACGGAAAAATCCGTCGACAATTCAGTGTGTAAATAATGGCCTAACAATTGGTATGAAAAACGTCAGTCAGTATTTGACTCAATGAGAAATTGTATTTGCTGACAAGGTCATTGTATCGACCATAGAACTTACGAAATGATGACTTTAAACAAGACTGCTGATATTCTTGTTTCATCAACTTGTTTGTTAACAATTTACCTCGTTTTAGAAATTGTACATACGTAGAGCATGCTCTTGCGTATCGAATTAACTGAGAGATATAAACCCCGTATGCAGGTGATGAAGGTATATTGCTGCATAAGTAAGGGGAGTTGACGATTGAAAAGTTTACCATAAAGCTTGGTTGTTAGATTACCATTAACGTCTTTTTCAAGTAAGATATCCAAATATGAAACAGATGTGTCAGACTCTGTGGTATCTTTTATCTCAAGCTCCCCAGGATATATCGTATCGACATAAGAATGGAAATAACCATTGTTAATTGACAATACGTCGTCGATACATCTAAATGTCGAGTTAAAGGCCTGTCTTCTTTTCACGTATAAGATTTTGGACAAATTCTGCTTCATATGAATACAAAAAAAGGTCTGCTAATAACGGGGCGCAATTGGTACCCATTTGAATTCCAATAGATTGTTGGAAGACCTGGTCTCAAAAAACCACGTAGATATTGTCAATCAGAAACTCGAGCATCTTTCTAATGTCAACTTCAGAGTACTTGTGTGTACAATCAGAATGTTTCTTAACAAAATAATTTTGCAAATGACCAATGACAAGGTAAGTAAATTTACGAGTTCCATTTTTATTGAAAAAGCAGATGTCAATGATATTAAAAAGCCTGGACTTAAATTCATCATGGGGAATGGTTGTGTATAAAGTTGAAAAGTCATAAGTGTTTAAGATGTTGATTTTGGTAAATTCTTGTGATTTCAAATTTTCCAAAAGTTCCTTGGAATTTTTAAGTATCCACATCTGATTTACACCACTTCTCGAATATATTGTTGCACAGTAATCTTGAAGTTTCTGCTTCACTACTGTTAATATCTTAGTGAGGAGTAAAGAAAGGGGCTTGGTTGAACATTTACTGGAACCCGCTATGTATCTTTGTTTGTAAGGATTTTTATGAAGTTTCGGAATCCAATATAGATATGGTAATTCAAATTCATTTTGGTTGTTTGGAATATTAAAAATATTCAAAACTGACTTATGATTTTGAAGAATTTCTTCCTTAGAAAGGGAACTATGAGTATAAGTTGGATTACCACTTGTAGAATTAAATCCAAGTTCCTCTAAAAAACATTTAATATAATGAGCCTTACAAACAAAGACAATGTTGTTACCTGCTTTGTCAGCAGGGACCAGTACGTACGTCTACTGATCATGTAATCTATCTAATTCTTTTTTTCACTTCTGGATTATTGAATACAGAAGGATAGATGGTTCTCATATTGCCCCTCAATCTTTTAATGCGCGATTTTAACATACATCTGATACATTTAATCCATTCTGACAAAGTGTCAAGGTCTTCTTTTTTCATGTCTGGCCCATCGCCTGGTGTAATCCTCTACAGAATCCTTAATATTTATGAAATTTCGACGCCAGTTGAAGGATCGGGGTTCCCTATATTTAGTACCTTTTAAAATTAATGATCTAAGGTCCTCATTATTAGTCCCCTACCGGTGAAACCGGAGGGGACTATAGGTTTCCTCTGAGTCTGTCCGTCCGTCTGTCCGTCTAGCTGTCCCTCTGTCTGTCTGTCAGTCTGTCCCTCTTGGTTTTCCGCACTTTTTAGACGGTGGCTATTTATAGCCACAGGCTATTGCTGCTGGTCTGGGCTATGAATAAACAACAGTGTAAAATCACGGGGACCCTAGCGGCGATTTTTGCAGAGACTAAATAATGAAAGTGGGGTCGTTTCGATGTTCGAAAATAAAATGTACATGGTTCTCAAGTTCTTTCAATGACATTTTGTTGATGGGCGTAAAGTTTAATTCCTTATATTTGCCGTTATAATATTTCTCGCCTCATGAATATTCATTAAATTACGCCGACTTAATGTTAATTCGTACAAAAACTGATTCGTATATAAGGAGTCAATTCGTATGCAAACCACAGAAGTCAATTCGTACATAACGTTTGCTGAACATGAAACAAATGCAAAAAAGTCAGTTCGTACACACGGCCTTTTTAACGTTGTGTAAATGTTAAATTTCAATAGAATTTATAAAAAGTAAAAAAAAAAAATCTGGGGGAAAATATTTATGGATAATGGTTTCACATTACACCTTCCCATCTTAGGAAATAAAA